GTCTCCAAGGAATTGTCCCCACAGTGGCTGCCGGGGGGCTGGGGACGATCCTCTCCGGGCAGGTGGGAGGCCTGGGGGCTAACCTTGCTAAAACAGGGTTGGGGTTTTTTTTTGGGGGGGGGGTGAACAGGACTAAGTTGATCCCCTTGGGGTGAGGCGCAGAGGGTTCAGTGAACAGGGGGTCGTAGGGGTCCCCAGGCGCGGATCTCCACGAAGACCCCAGGATGCGCCCCTGGGGGTGCCCGAGAGCATCAATGAGGTGGCTCCCCAAACCGGCCCGTGGAGTGAGTAGTGGGGCCCAAAGACACAGACACTGACGTCCTTGAATCGGCTTTATCGGGGCCACCACAACCCTCCGCCTCCCCAGGTCTCCGGTGTCCACGGGCTGCCCGAGCCCCCGCGCGGCCTGCAGGGCCCTGCTCGCCCGGCACGCACCTCCGCGCTGCGCCCCCCTCTCCATCCGCCTCTCTGTCCTCCGGGGCCCTGGGCCCCGCCGCGCCGTCAGGGCTCCTGGCTCCGGGGCGAGGTGGCACTGTCCGCCTCCTGGCTGGCGACGGGGCCCGGGGCGCCCGCGCTGCGCAGCTCCCGACCCCGCCTCTCCACCAGCCAGCGGCAGCCACCAGCTTGCGGAAGGGCGGCCGGCGCGCAGGCTCGGCCTCCCAGCAGCTGCCCATGAGCGCGTGCACCGGGCCCGGACAGCCCTCGGGGGGCTCCATGCGGTACCCCTTCTCCACGGCCTCCGACACCTCCTTCAGTGACTGCGGACAGAGGGCATGCCGGCGTGGGCGGGGCCAGGGCACGCCCCCGGGCCCGCGCAGGAGGCGGACCACCCCTGCCCCCCGCTCACCATCTTGGGGTACGGAGCGCGGCCATACGAGAAGACCTCCCACAGCAGCACCCCGAAGCTCCAGACATCCGACTTGCTGGAGAATTTCTGAGGGGGCGGGCATCAGAGTCAGGAGAGGGGACCAGGGCTTCTCCGGCCTCCAGGCTTCTTCCAGGAAGTCCTCCCGGTTGCCTCTTACCCCTGGTATCCTCCCTATAGATTCCTATCCCTAAACCTCGACAGTCCAGTTGAGCTCACGCCCAGTGCAGAGAGGACCCACAGTCTTCCTCTCGGTGCGGGCCCCAAGTCCGCATCAGGGACGGGGTGGGGGGACCCTGAAGCCCGGAGGGGGCTCAAAGAACCTCAGGGCTGGAGGGATTACAGGGGTGGCAGAGCCATTTCCCTCAGAGGTCCAGAGAGGCCAAGCGATGTACCCAGGGTCACGCAGCAGCGAGGGCGCGCCAAGCCTGCTCCCGGGGACCCCAAGGCCGCAGGGGCAGCGCCTCACCCCGTGTTTGAGCGCCTCGGGCGCCGTCCACTTGACCGGCAGCCGGCTGGAGTCCAGCCCCTTCCGCTCGGCTTTGGCCAGGCCGAAGTCGCTGACCTTCGCCACCAGGTCCTCGGAGATGAGGATGTTGCGGGCGGCCAGGTCGCGGTGCACCAGCTTCTTGTTCTCCAGGTACTCCATGCCCTCGGCCACGTGCCTGCGCGGGCCGGGGTCTCAGGCTCCGCCCTGCTCCGCGCCTCGGCTTCCCCGGGCCTCGGACCCGCCCCGCTCCGCACTCACAGAGAAAACTGCAGCAGCTGGCTGGTGCTCACGAGGGCGCGGCCCCGGGTGCGCAGGAAATTCACCAGGTTGCCCTGTGCGGGCGGAGGCGCGGGGACCGTTAGGGGCGCT